TAAAAGATTAATGAATGGAAATTGAATTGAAATTTATTAAAAGTTAAAAATTATTTTTATTTTAACAAATTAATTATGAAATTTAAAAATAGAACTTTTAAAGAAACTTTTTAAAGAAAAACATTAATATCTCATTATAATTTGAATAATATTCATTACAACACTCCTTATGTGTATTTGTAACATTGATAACAATACATATATAAATATATATATATATATATATGTACAAATCACGTGTAATAACGTGTGCTTTACGACTATAGAAATTTCCATAATTATCAACAACTCGAACGAATTGTATAAAATTTAATACAATTCATTCATGTTAACTAAAAGCAATTATTTTTTTTTTAGATTGATGGATACTAAAATTAACCAATTTTAAAAAACTATTATTCCAATACTAAACTAATTATACTTATAAATCCCGTTAAATTATAAAAATTTTATATTATAAATAAACATAATATTGATTTTGTTATAACATACATATGTGCAATTAAATTTTAATATTTTTTATTATTAAATAATTGAAATTATACTTTGAATTAAATAAATGATGACTCCAAATACTATGTTATATATCATATGATAAGAATTTCTATAAATAAGACACTAATTTCTCTTTATATTTAATACAATTTTTCCTTTTTCAATACTGAAAATTTCTTATGAAATTTACTATAAACCTATTTTACGAAAGAAAATTATTTAATTTGATTTTATTTAATTTTTAATAAAAAAACTTACTTCTAGAAAGAATCCATGGTCTCGCGCTATAGGTAATATCCTCAAAGACTAAAAATATTGAGTTATGGATATCCATTAAGTCCTCTAATTTCTTTGTACTGGTCGGTGCAGTATCGGATCTAGACACAACTTGCCTTAGTTGTTGTTGCATCTCGATGAGTACTTTCGTGCCCATTTTCTTCGTCTACGTCTTTCTTGGATACTCACATTCGACGACTTTTCACTATGATGCTTTCTTTTCTTTTCTTAATGGCCGACGCAATTTATCAACACTAAGCACAATAAAACACATATGAGAACACAATAAACAATTCACAAAAAAAAAATTAGACATTATACATTGATATAAAGTTTGGAAAAATTGATTACATTTCGTAATCATCGCAACATCCGTGAGTGTTCATGAAATTTTATACACATAAAGCAACAAGATTCAAATCATTTCATATTTAATCGACAAAATATTACATTCTAATTGCAGTTTTATCGATACTAAATGTCATTATAGATGACTATTGGTATATTACAAACATGTATAGCATAAAAAGCAACAAATAATTAAAAAGTTGTTGGTAACACTTATTGGTATTCTTAATAATTTGAATTGCAAATAACGAAATATATAATATGAATCAGTAATAAAACAATTATTTAATACCATATTTCGATAAAAACAAAAGAAAAAGTTAAAGAAAAATATAAAATGTATAAAAAATTTTAAATAAATACTCTTAAAGATTTAAGATACATTTACATTTTTACAATGTTACGATTAAATTTAGTTGTACTTGTACATAATTTGTGAAAGTTGAGAAGCACTATTATGTTATAATAGTATATATGTATAATAATATATATAATATATATACAATATAATATATATACATAATAATATATAGTATATATTATGTTATAATATATATTTGGCATGTTTTCACATTGCAAAATTTGAAATATAAAGACTTCTTAATCCATATCGCTACACTCACTTTATCAGCTGCTGATGTACTATTAACGCGTCTCTAAGATCAGAGCACAATATACAAAATAAATCAGTTTTTTTTTATAGATCATACGATATATACTGGAAATTCAATACTAATTTTTTGAAATATGACGATATTTAATACTTTTTAATAAAAAAATTCTTACAACAGAAATTTTTTTCATAAAATAAAACAATCAATAAATTATTTTAATAATATGTCAAAAAGCACATATCAATAAAATTATATATCACGCACTTAATTGTTAAAAAAAATAGATAATTAATCCTTGATAGAAACACTTCATCTACTTTTATATTTTATGTCACAATTCTTATATTAATGAATATAACACGTCATGAAATGTATACAAAGAATGTATACAAAGTTTACAACGAGAGGACAACACCATAAAAGTAAAGACGGAGGTCATCAGCAGACACTCCTTGATCGCATACAGAGGCGCGTTGCTGTACTGCTGTATTTCTGTGGCGAACAAAGCTTCATACTTCTCCCTCCCACGCGGTTATTAAACCGCGCACGTTACATGTAGCAAAGTTTAGTTGATAAAATTTGTCTTGTTTCGTTCATTTATTGGTAATATAGATTTCCTTTTTACCGATTTGAATGTATTATTTCATTTGATAAAATATAATTAAATATAAATTAAATATAATTAAAAAATAAATATAATTTTTAAAGAATTTAATTTTTAATATAAAAAAAAAATAAAACTATTTATCATTAAATTCACGAATAATTTATAATCAATTTATAATTTTGTGTATTTATATAAAATTTATATGATTCATTGTTAATTATTTTATCTTTTAGAATTATTTAAAAAATCATATTTATTTTTTAGATAAAAGATTAAATCTAACTTTTAAAATAAAAATTACTGATAACAAATCGAATTTTTTTAAACTCATATCATGGAATACAAAATTTAGAGATTGAAGATTGACATCTCGATATTGGTACTGTTCTAAAAGATTATTCATATTTACAAAGAAAATAATCTCCTTATTAATACAAGATTATAATCTTAAATATGATTAACTTTTATCTTAAAATTAAGTTATTTATATATATATAAATGAAAATGATTAATGTAATAATTTACATACAATAATTAAGAACTGAACTTAAACTTTCAAAAAAAACATGTGATTATGAAGTAAACAATTTACATAAATAAACTTATCTTTAGTTATTTAATGTGTATTCTGAATCACTATATATATGTATATTATCTCTATAATATCGACTAATGTTATCTTGTAGTTATCAAAAAAGAAAATCACTTAGTCTATAAGACAAAAAAAAACTCACTATTACAAATTAAAAATTTATAATTGAATGTAGATATATTTTTTATATTATTATTAAAGTAATGAGCAAAATAATCCAAACTTTAACAAAATTTTTAAAATCAATTAACAAAAAAATAAACACTTTTTTGTACATAATATGAAACATGTTCTGTCCGAGAACAATTTGTGTTTCTATCGAACAGTTGTTTATCAAATGATATCAGTTTATAAAATATCTACCTGTTTAAAAATCAATTTGTGATAAATAACAGGTGTGCAATATAAATCGCAAAAAATATAATGCAACAAATTTGTTGTTTTATTATAAATATTTATATCTATAATATTATTTATATTTATATCTATAAATTTTTTAAATATATTTACCTTTTTAAATCACACATTATCTTGCACTATCAAACTATATTACACTTTCTTTAATTTAATTGCATCAAATAAATCATACTAATTATAAGATTTTAAATGAAAAACATTTTGAAAAAAAGTAAATATATTTTTAAAGAAACACCATATATTACTAGCGATTGAGGTATTGCATACCTCAAATGTTGAACTATAAGTGAAACTTCAATACCACTCTTAGCACGTGTCCTTATTTCGATATAGTGTTGAAAGTTCACTTGTGTCTACGCATATATATTGTGTCTATGTATGTATATTACATCAGTTGATATTAAATTGCAAATCTAATAAATATTTATGTTTATTTATAAACTTGAGATGCATTCAAGTTTCGTATATCAAAAAATTATGCAACATATAATATATTATCTTCACTTCATTATAATTTATTATAATCTTCATTTTTTATTCGTACAAAATAAATTATTATTTCTTCTATTTATCGTAAAAAATAGTTAAAATTAATGTGTTGATAAATTGAAAAAAAAAAAATATATTGTCAAGAGATAATAATGTAAATACATCAATAAATACAATGAATTTAGAATAAATATCAAAAATAAATTTTATAATTATGCTTGTATTATTAATTTTATACTAAAGATAATTTATTCTAATTTTTATATTAAAGATAATTGAAAATAAAATGTTTGATGATAGGAAACTTATAAAAGTTTATTAACAACAATACTTTTTATTTAAATTTTAAGTATATGTAATATAATATAAATTATTGATAATTAAAATGAATAGAATTAAAAATTTATAATTAACAAATCATTAACATATTACTATTATATTTTAATATAATACAATATATAATACAATATATTTTAATATAATATTTGTATTTTTAATAAATTATAAATAATATATAATTATTATAATAATTATAAATTATATATAATAATTATAATTATAAATAAATTTTATTTGATAATTAATTATAAATTATAAATAAATTATATTTTTTGAATATAATTTTTTATTGATATACATTAAATATTGTTATTGATATTTATTTTATCTTTACTTTTTTATCATTTGAGTATATTAGTAGTTATAAATGACATAGGATGGAGTTCTATAGATTGTATATAAAATGATTAATTAATATATATTTAATTAAAAATTACATTTTTATTAATTAGCATCACACAAAAAAATCTAATTATATAAATACTACAATATATAATATGTATTTAAGTTATTACATATATAAAATATAATTGTAACTAATTATATTATAAATATATGTAAAGTCAATTATTTTATATATGCAATAAAATTTTATATACATTACAATTTATTTTCTTCTATTTATATAATTATTAATATCATAAAAAAAAAATTTTCTTTGATAATAATAATATTAATTGATTTTCAATATTTTATACTTTATAATTATATACAGAGCTAGAAACATAAATATTAAAAGCAAATATTTCATTATAAATACATATAATATAAAATTTCTCTAATAACATTGACAAAATTTTACGTACGTGACAAAATGCAAAAATTTAAATTTACCGCTTTCTATTCACACGTTGATGTTCTAGCGTTCTAAACTGAACGCCATCTTTATTGGTTTTATGAGACGCGCGGGGTACAGCGGTAGATGTGTCAAATCGCAAGATCCATCATAATATCTGGATGAACATGGTGTTTATACAGAAAAGATGATTTTTAACGTCCAATTTCGATGTAAGTAATATATCGTGTTTGATAGTGATGTGAAAAATCGTACAATTTCAACACGTTGATTTGTGTCGGTCAATATATCCACCACCACGAGATTTCGTTAACAGCTATCATTTCTACGATGGAAACCCTCTTTAAGAATCAAATACATGATGCAAATCATTAATATTAATAATAATTCTATTTCCTTACGGCATGTCATTTCAGTTTTTAAAACCTATCTCAGAAGCGTAAGAAAGTTTATTTTAAGAAGTATTCCTTGACAATAGATACCATCCATTTTGTTTATGCACCTCCGGCGCGTCTCGACTCAAAAACATTGCACCTCGTTTTCAACTTCTCGTTTTTAAATGTTGTTATTTATGAAAACAAATTTAAATAGAATTATCTTATATTGTTTTGATTATGGTTAAAAGTATTACATCATATTATTTTGTTCGTTTTTTTATCGTATATATATTTTAAATTAATATCGTATGTGTTGTGAATCTAGATGTTTAATTTATTGTTTATATGTCACAATTTTTATGATTTTATTTATCTATATCATAGATATATATTCGAAAATTTGTGAGTAAACTTTTTTAAATAGAATTAATTTTCTAAGTTTTTCTAAATTTTTATGGAATGTTTTAATATTTAATTTATATTTAATCTTAATATTTTGAAGTGTAAATGAATATATTTCAAGTGAATTAACTATTTCTTATGAAGTTCAATTCTTTTTTAGGTATGTAAATTGAGAAAAAAATGGTTAGCAACATTTCACGGGGTACCCCGCGTATTCAGGTCTTTAGACCCACATATGAAGAATTTAAGGATTTTACCAAGTATGTAGAATATATGGAAAGCAAAGGAGCTCATAAAGCTGGCTTAGCAAAAGTAATTCCACCACCTGAATGGATTCCAAGAAAAAAAGGTTATGATTTAGATGATTTAGATCTTACAATCCCCGCACCAATTTGTCAGGTTGTAACTGGCAAACAAGGTCTTTATCAACAAATTAATATACAAAAAAAATCTATGACTGTTAAAGAATATAGCAAATTGGCTAATTCTGAAAGGTATAATACTCCTCGTCACTTTGATTATGAAGACTTAGAGAGAAAATATTGGAAAAATATAACATATGTAGCACCAATATATGGAGCAGATGTATCTGGTTCATTGACTGATCCAGATGTAAAAGAATGGAATATTAATCATTTGGGGACAATACTTGATTATGTGAATAAAGATTATGGTATATCTATTGATGGTGTTAATACAGCTTATTTGTATTTTGGAATGTGGAAAACTACATTTGCATGGCATACAGAAGATATGGATTTATATTCCATAAATTATTTACATTTTGGAGCTCCAAAAACCTGGTATGCTATACCACCAGAACATGGTCGACGATTAGAGAGATTAGCTAGTGGTTTTTTCCCATCAAGTTATCAAAGTTGTCAGGCTTTCCTGCGTCACAAAATGTCTCTTATTTCACCTCAAATATTAAAACAATATTCTATTCCATGTAATAAAGTAAGTTTCAATTATTTATAAATTAAAGATTATATAGAAATAAAAATTATAATTAATATTTTTTTTCTTTTTTAGATAACACAAGAAGCTGGAGAAATTATGATTACTTTTCCTTATGGATATCATGCAGGTTTTAACCATGGATTCAATTGTGCTGAATCCACAAATTTTGCTGCCCCACGATGGGTAGAATATGGTAAAAGAGCTACACAATGTACCTGTAGTAAAGATATGGTTAAAATATCTATGGATACGTTTGTAAAACGGTTTCAGCCAGAAAGGTAAAAAATAATTTTTAGAAAAAGCATTATCAATATATATGGAATAAATAGAATAAATTTAAAATATATTATAGATATGAATTATGGTTACGTGGAGAAGATATTGGTCCTCATCCTGAAGATCCCAAACAAACAGCTGCACCTATGCCTTCTCAAATGGATCTTTTATGTAGTAATAGTCAATTACCACAAAGTTATTTGAATGCTGCTCCAAAAAATAAACGGCACACTATACATAAAAAGAAAAACATAATGGCCACAAATCCTGATGTTGATATGGAAGAATTAGTAAACCGTCCTGATATTCCACCAGATGTTAAAAAAGTATTACAAGATTTAGAATTGGAAGAAGTAGACGATCAGCCAGATGAACAACAATTGGAAGTTTTAGAAGATATATGGCTAAAAGCTGGAGAAATGGGTAAAAATTATATTTTTGTGTTTCAATATGTATATGTAAAATCAAATAATTATAATAATTATAATAATATTATAATTAATAATATATTATATTATATATATATTACAATTTGTCTATAATTTATATTTATAAAATTTAATAAATGATCTTTATAGATGTGAATGAAGCTTCCGTGTTCGATGACGGTTATAATCGCAAAAAAAGTCGAAAACGTAAGAAAAAAAATACTGATAAATCTAAATCTAAAAAAGATTATAATAAAAGTATTAATGAAGATGTTAAAGTGAAGACTGAAATAAAAATGGAGCCAAGTGATAGTTTTAATTTTCTACCTTCAACATTTTCGGAGCAAAGTGCTCAATTAGAAAATAATCTTCAAGGAAGTTCTAATATCATTATATCAAGTAATAATATTATTGAAAATATAAAAATAGAAGAAAGTTCTGATTTTTCAGAAGCTGCAGATAAGCCATTAAAGAAAAAGAAAAAACATTCAAAGTCTGGAGAATCAAAGAAAATGAAATCAAAGAATATAAATAAAACTAAACGAAAACATTTGAACATATCTATTTTCGATACTAATGAGCCTTTGGATGTATCGGATGCTGATGTACAACGGAAATTGATGGCTATGCCAAGTCTTAATTTACACAAAACGCCAACAATTAATAAAGATACAAGTAATCATATAATTTCTTCTGATAATGAAATTAATATGAGTTCCATTAAAGAAAAAAATTTAATAAGTATTGCAAATAATAGTCAAATTGCAAGCTCTATATATAATAATACAAAAGAAATGGAAAAGATTATAGATAATAATGTGAATGAGCGAATAAATTTGTATGCAAAGAGTACAAAAAAACCCAGTATAACTGCAGTAAAACCATCAGTTTCTAAGCAAATTTCATTGAAAAATATTTCTTCAGATCAAGTAAAATCTATTCATAAAATCGATAAAATCGTAGAATCTGAATATACTAACGAAGATACAAATATCAATACACAAGAAACAAAATCAAGCACTCTTACTAGTTGCAAAAGTGTGGGAACAATTATTACTGAAGGAACTATATTCAATTATGCGAAAAAAGATATCATTAAAGCTCCTAGATTGAGCGTTTTAAAATCTGCGTATAATATATCTGCAACTGAAGTATCTTCGAAAGTTGATTCCGTAAAATCTATTGGAGAGGAAAATGATACTCGTATACCATTAAAAAATTTATTAGTTTCACCAAAGACTTGGCCTATTGCCAAACCTCGAGAACCTAAGCTCTCCGGTTCAGGCATTATGTTTCTTAATACAAATTTTCCTAATCCACCGATTTTACAAAAAGAAACATTAAACCAAGAATTAGCAAATGAAACAAAGACTGTGGAGCTGTCAAAACCCTTAACTTCATGTGCAATTCAAATACCACGATTAGAAGGTATCTTTGCGAAAAATACGATCTTAGCTCAACCATTAACACAATCTGTAACATGTGTGAGTGGAATGAAAACAGATGTTAAAACTCTTGGAAAGAGATCTACTACAGATACATCAAAAATGATGGCAACAAAATTTTGGCAACCTTCTACTAGTAATAATAGCTTATTCTTTTTAAAAGATATGAGAGATGAGCAAGCTCATTCTTCGACAACAAGTTTAGACACTCCTGAAACTACTATTTCCTCATCATTAAATTTAACGAGCAATAATACATTCTTTTTAACTACAACTTCTAAATGCAGAAATATTTCGTTAAATACTCAATCACCACTAACGATCGATTTTAATAAAAAATATTTACAGACTTCTACTTCGATTCCGAATACAGCAAGTTCATTTGTAAAGATTATACCGAAATCACAAGATTCATTATTTATGAGAAAAACAATTAATCAGAAAGAAGAAATTTATAATAGGAAACCGTTCAAAAACGGAAGTACAATTGTTAATAAAGTAAAAACTGTATCCACACAAGTGGATACTCCACTGGAAATCATTCAACTCAATAAAAATATAAATATTGCAAATTCAGATACTAGTATACAATATACTACGAATCATTCCATTACAGATTTACAGGATTCCCAGAAAACAATTACTATTTCACACTTACAACAAGAACAGTTTCCAAATGTAATTGCAATCAACAATAAATTACAAAGTCAAAATATACAAAAGAGTTCTGAAACTATATACCACAGTATATCACCATTAAAACAATTAACAAACTCGAGGCGAAAACCAAAAGAGAAATTAAAAAAGGCTACTACCAGGAAAAAAATATCTATAGAGACGAAAATACTCGGAACAACAAATTTAGAAGAATCAAATACAATTATATCTTCTGTAGATCAATCACCTTCTGTGTCTCATCGTATTTCGATGGTACCAGGACATATATCCGACATGTTGTATCCTAGTGTTCCGAATAACGAATTATTAAAAGCATTCAATGATTATTGGAGTGCTCAAATTTCTCATTGTGCGATCTGTGCTCCGTTTACCTCGAGTTGTAATGGACATGGCAGATTAATGCCACCAGACTGGAAGTATTGTAAACCTACTGTTTTACCAGAAAGTTCACCAATATGGGTAAATAATATTTATTTTTATTTAAAATGATAAATTTTCAGAAGAAATTTTATTGAAACATATTTTTTAGGTATCTGCGAATGTATTCGTTGCAAATTCAAAGGAACAAATCGTTGAACCGGAAAATGATAAGCTTTTACGTTGTAGAGAGTGTCACGTCACGGTTCATGCCTCCTGTTATGGAATCACCGTATTACCTACAGATCTACGAAATTGGGCTTGTGATAAGTGCAAGGCTGGTAAAACACAAGTGGTATGTATATAAAATTATTTTTGTATATTTTATTTTTTTTTTTATTTTTAATAAATTTTTTGATTAATTTTTATTATTTTATAATATAGATGTGTTGTTTGTGTCCTATGCGAGGAGGAGCTCTTAAGCGAACTAGCGATAGTAATTGGGCGCACATATTGTGCGCTCTTCTATTACCAGGAGTAACTTTTAAGGATGCCATAAATAAGGATCCTATTAATGTATTAACCATCAAACCAAATAATGTTAAGCAACAGTGTTGTTACTGTGGGCAGAAAGATGGAGCGTGTCTTAATTGTAATCAGTGTAATAATCTATTTCATCCGTCTTGTGGACTTGTTTCTGGTGCTACATTTACAATACCTGTATACAATTCACCAGAACTTCAGGTATTTTAAAAAGGATTTACATAAAATTTAATTATACATTAAATTATATTAAAATTATAACAAAGATTATTATGTAGATAACATGTGATGGGCATGGTGATGGAAAAGAAAAGATACCAACAATTCGACAAGGAGAAATTGTATGGGCAAAACATCGTAATACGCGATATTATAAAGCAAAAGTAGATTCCATTCATGATACTTTATTTTATATGGTTACGTTTAGTGATGATAGTTTTAGCGAAGATTTATATCCATCAGATATTACAGTAAGTATATATATATATATATATATATATATATATAGATGTTTTATTTTCATTTAAAAAATGTGTAAAAATGTTTTCATTATTCTATGTAGAACTATGATCCTGGAAATCCACCGCAACAAGGTGCTGCAGTCGTTGTAAAATGGACAGATGGAAACTTATACAATGGTATCTTTGAAGGTACAAATCACCGAATCATGTATACTGTAAGTATCTTACAATAATGTATTAATATTTTAATATTATTATTATTATTATTGCATTATTTATATGTAAATTAGTTAATTATATAGTTATAGATTTAAAATTTTTAAATTATAATTATATTTTTTAGGTAATTTTCGAGGACGGTTCACAACTCGTATTAAAACGAAATGAGATTTACAGCTTACAAGAAGATATGCCAAAAAGAGTTCGTTCACGTTTGGTGAGTTTAGTGATAAATTAATCTATTTGCGTGAAAAGTTTCTTTAACAGAATTGTGAAGAATAGGATTCTTCTTTATATGATTCACTTTATTTTTTTTTAATGCATTTTTATTATTGATTTATTTATCACGAATTTGTGTTGATTTTTTATTATTTTAAATGATTTCATTAAAGTCTGTTGCGACCGAAATGAAGCACCGGTATCATCTATATGGGACAGAAGATGAATCGGAGGCGCAAAGAAAGGTGAAACCGTCGAAATATTGTGATTAAAAAAAAATTATATACGGTTCGTTGTAAATAATCGATAGAGACAAATAATATTAAATTACTGTACATAATATATACAAATAATTGTATCTAATAATTTGATTTTTTCTAAACTTGTATGCGTTTTAGAATGGACCAAATGAACAGGTTTTTATTTTTTTTCATTTTCATTTCTTATCTTCTTTCTTTTTATTTCGTTCTTTTTTCTTTTGTTTTCTTTGCTTTTTTAATTTTTTAACTTATCGACATTTTTATTGGTATTATATCTCTTTGTTTTAATATACCATTATTTGTTAAACACATGAGCTCATAATGAATATTAGCAAATTAATTTAATGAAAAACAAATTCAGTATAAATGTTACAATGTCTCGACGAGAAAAAAGTATTAAAGAAATTACGGTGTTACAGATTATGTCTCTTTTTTGTGGTTATAATTAAACACGTTTGAATTTTTAACTATTTATCACGTAATTAGAATATAATTCAAATTCAAGATTTTCTATCGTACGAAATGAACGAAGCGTTGTTTTATTCCTTGTATTTACACGCAGTTAGAACAATTTATCAAATCCCACAAATTGTTAAAAACAAAATATTCAACAGATAATAGGATCAAAAAAGAATAGAAATAAAATTTATGCAATATACTTCTGTATATATTTACAGAATGTGAATAAGATATGAGATGTTTTTAAGTAATGAATCCCACATATGTAATTTAAAAGCATTTTTTACTTTGTTCTATGAATAAGCGTCTAAAATGAACTCTTTAGAAATTTACATTGCGTATTTCTCAATAAAAATCATGTTAAATCATAATACGTTATCAAAAACGTATAAATAAACCACTTTTAAAAGGGTTCAGTAGTTGTATATTTCATAATTTTTCTTAAATTTTCATTTTGTATTCTATAACATATATATAAGTAAAAATTTATATAAAAATGTACAATTATCATAATGAAAAGTTTAGCAAATTATACTAAAATTTTAGTAAAATATATTTCATATAATTTACTATGATGATCATACTGTTTCATGTAAAATTTTTACATGATGTTTATAAATATATATATATATATATATTTCACCAAAATCTATAACGTGTTTTTATTAATTATTTAAATATTTAATAAAGTGAAAATATAACTATTTGCAAATTTATTTTTAAAGTTAATTAAATTTTAATTATGAAATTTCATTGCATCTCAATCTCTGACAACTATTGATCCCTTTAATGTGGAGAGTTATAAATCCTTTTTCGTTTTTTTTTTTTGTTTTTTNTTTTTTTTTTTTTTTTTTTTGTTTTCTAAGAATAAGAATTGCTAATAAATTATAGTACTCAAGTATGTGTTCATTATAAAGTCGTTAAATGAAAATTTTTTAAACAAAAATATGTGTATTATCATGTGTGTATTAGACATCTAAATTTAATTCTTTACTAGTATCAAAACTAGATTAATATTTTCGCGCCATTTCAATATGGTCACTTATAAAAATATGTTTCTAATTCTATATATCGTTCATTTCTTTTGTTTCATTTATTTCTATTCGTAATTAAGTATAACATAGTGAACACAATACAGCGTTTATTAAACATTTATATATATATATATATATATATATATATATATATATATATATATTTATATGTATATTTAATTTAAAAAAAATTAATAATTTGAGTTAGTTTATATGATCTCTTGATATTTGTTTCTTACAAATTTTATTTAATCCTAAAAACAAAGATATGTACGTGCGTGCGCGTGAAATGAGCTTTAGTTGTAACTTAATTTTATGTAATTTATGCGAAAAAAATTATTTTCTTCCCCGGCCACTTTATAATAATTATTCACTGAAATAGGTTGGGGGAACTGTGTTAGCATTATATCTGTATATGATATTAATGAAAGAAAAAATTAATAATGTATCCGAATGTAGAAACAAATTGGATACAAAATATAATAAAAACTGAACATGTAAAATAGTTATTTTTCTTTTAAATTACCATTATTATAAATATAGAATACGAGTTCAATTAGATTTTTATTTACTTCTTTTTTTTATGTTAATTTTATATTTAATTAAAAAATCTAATTTAATATATTTAATAGTGTAATTTGTAATAATTTGTAACAGTTAATTTTAAAATAAATATTCATTAATCAATTTAGTAAATCAGTTTGGATAAAATTTATTTATTTTGATTAGAAATTTTATTTCATAATATTTATTTAATATTAGATAATGTAATGACTTATCTCTCTATAAGCAAAATGATTTTTCTACAATTAATATATAATAGAAAATAATATAATAATATAATAATATAATAGAAAATTGAAATAATGCAAAATATAATTTAAACTTTCAATTTTCAAAATTTTTCAAAAATATAAAGATAAAAATTATTAATATATTGTTTAACTAGTTTTTTAAATTATCAAAAAAGATTTTTATAAGACAATCCTAAAAATATCTTAGATAATTCTAATTTTTTAATTTATATAAAATTATATTAATGAATATTAATTATTTAAAATTATGAAAATATTTAAAAAATATATCACAGTGAATAATTATATCCATTATATTAAAAATAAAGAAACATGATTTTTTTTCAAATTAATTTAACAATTTTGTATTGTTTGTATTGTTGTTTTATAAAAAAATAAGTGAAATTTTTTTTAAATTATTGCCTATTTACTGATCACATTTGTAATAAATATAAAAATATAAATAATTTTTTAATATTAAATAATAATATTTATAACAAAACTTTTTACAATAGAACTTTAATATATTTATTCCAATATCAGTTCCAAATTGATCAGTAATCAAATTGATAATCAATTTATGATTAATTTTTTAAATTGATGACATTACAACTATGCAATGATGAATTTTATTAGATAATAATATTGTAATCTATAAAAATATGATAAGAAAATAAGTTTCTTTTTAATTATTGTATATGTACATTTCATATATTTATATAATAATTAAATATACATCAAATATCACGAATATTTTAAAGCTTTCGTGACTCATTTCTTATAAAAATTTCTAATGTATAAAATACATTTGATTAAAAAATATATATAATAAGTTAATCAATGCAATAATTACAAAGTAACATGTAATTGTAAAAGAATGCAGTAATTACAAAGTAACATGTTATAATAAGTTTAAATTAGAAATTCTATATGTTATTTAATACAATTAAGTTTATATATTGCAATCACAAATTAAAAATATGTGCATAATGTTTCCAACATTAACTTCAACAAAAACCTTTCCATGATTCATAAGTACAATATAAGAATTTAATTTATCAAGATTCAATAAAGAATTTTATAAAATTCTAAATTTTTTTATTAAGGTAAACATAAATAAAAATAAAAATTCTATCAATCCATATCTATGAGTTCCAAAGGAACTTTTTTTAGCACCATTGTCACGGTAAGTAAGCTATAATTGCTAAGCAATAGTGGATCATCAAAATTAGGAATAATCTTTATCTTCTATTAAGTTTACACCAGAGAGCACTAGCAGTTAACAAATGCATTAATACGCCAATACCAAGTATTAAAATAAGATTGTTTGCAACACTTGTATCAGCAATTTCCATCTCTTTGAGAAATTGTGTTGGTTTTTTATAATGACAATAGAAATCGTCACATTTCAAGTCCATTCGGTCAAAACCATAGACAGTGTGTAAAAGGCTGTGAAAACTGGCACGAAAGTATGATATATAAAACATCCATCGAAACATTTGCGGCGTATCTATGTAACGAATACAAAATCCGAATACAGAAAATAGCACTGCAATTATGGGTCCTGCAAATACTGCGATCTAAAAAGAAAAAAAAATTAAATTATAATTTTCTATTTGAACAAAGTTAATATTTTTTTGATAAATATTATTATAGTATATTATTAGTATCATAATATAATATAAATAAAATATTTTTATTAAATATTAAGTGACAAAAATATACAAATTACATTGTTTTTTTTTCGTACTAATAATTATCCAATAAAATAATTTTCAATACTTATCAATTTGAAAGAATTATTGCAATTAAATATGTAGAATATATTTATATAATTAATTAATAAAATTATAAATTTTTTTATTTAGATTTTGTAATTTATATGCTTGTCTATTATAGATCATTATTAATTAAAAAAATAAAATATAATAAATGAATTATTTACTAAAACACAAAATATATAATAATAATATTTATTTACTAAAACACAGAATATATAATATATTCTCTGAAAAATCGATAGTATTTTAATTTATGCGCATTTACATTTGCGCAATAATCTACAATAACATACGTTATATTGAAAAAATTAATATTTTATTTTTCATGAATTATTTATATAGAACATATAGAATATTTTATATTACTATTATAATTACATATTCTTTTTTCATATATTTCATAATTACATATTCTAAAATCATGATAAATTTAAAAAATATACGTACATTAACTGGTGTAGTCGCACCAATAAAAAAACCCCATGCTTGAGCTGTTAAACTAGCAGCTATACTGACAACCATAAATGAAATTATACGAGGAGTTTCTACAGGTTGTCCTGTTAACCAATAACTTACAACCAAATAGGTTGCTGCACAAGATGCCTGGAAAGGTATTTCCACTAGTAGCATACTAATATAATATGGTGCTAACCGATACCACCGGTTGAAATGCTCTCTTGTTAATATCCGCATTTCTAATGGAACTAGAAATATTTAAATTTTTTTAATTATTTATCGTATTTTTATTTTTTTATATATAAATATTAAATATAAATATTAAATATAAAATTAAAAGTTAATAAAAAAATAAATAAAAAAATTTTCTATTAACATTTAAACAGAATTTTGTGCTTGCAATTTTAATTTTACTCATTATACATAAAATATATTATACATATATATGTACATATATATTTTTCTCTTTTTAAACTAAGAAAATTATATTATATATTAGTATAGTACAAATTATGAAACAAAATAATTTCAAAATCGTTATGTTATTAAATATTTGTTTCCATTTTTATAAAGTAGTAACATATAAAATATATAAAACGAAATTTACAGCGAATTTTTTTTTAAACATTTTCTGAAAGAAAAAAAAAATTGACTAAAGCAATAATAACTATATATGGAAATAATTTAGATAAATTATAAGAATGATGAATTATTAATATCTTTTATAAAAAAAGAAATGTATGATAAAATAAACAGCAACGCTTCAATAAACAAGAAAAATGCATTTAGCTTACGGGAGTGAATGTCTACTAGAGATACTGTTAACTCTTCTTTGTATTATTATTCAGTTTGAAATACAATTACATACCAAGTTCCTTGACCTACATTTTCTACCATTAATGGTGCAAAATGATAATAATATAAAGGAAGATTAAATCATTGTTTGTTGTAAAGTTGTAAAATTAATATTCTATTTTTTTTTTGATACAATGCAATTTTTTTACAACTAAAATATTAATAAATAAAATATTGAATAAATTTAAAAACATCAATTTAAAAAAACAAAAAAAAATTAATATAAAAAATTTTTTTATATTATATATAATATAACTACTGATTATTAAAGAGAATTAAAATTAAATGAAGTATATAAAATAATAAAAAAGAAAATATGGAGGAACAACTCTCGAGAAAGTGAATCGTAATTTAGAGGAGAAAGTTTTTAGTTCTTAGTTCGTGTAATATCCATTATATACTCGATGATACCTATTATATATCAATGTATTTTAATATATTATTATAGAAAGTTATATATTAAAAACAATTAATATATTTTATATATTATAATATTATAATACAATATTAAATGAATAAATAATTAAATAAATAAATACTTACAGGCAAGTGTGACAGCCATTTTAC